AGTTTCCCCCCCGGAGCGGGGGGGGGGGGATACGAGGGTGAAATCTCTTTCCGGGTGCAAATTTTTAGGCGAGGATTTTCTCTGGGCACCGATAAAAGGTGCAGAAAGCGTCGAAAAGGCTCAAGAGGAGGAGAGACGGAAGGAACCGGCTTCGTTTTCCGCGGCGGCTGGTCGCTCGGTTTCCGCGCCTTCAAGCCGAAACACGAGTTTAAGCCCCCGTCGCTGAATCGCTGTTTTTGCAGGATCTTGATAAAATAGTTTGCGGAGACGCCGGGATGGGAAAATCGCTGCTCTGTGAGTAACCGGGGGGCTGAGGACGTGCCGGGTCTTCGCGTAACGAAGCATGAATTGCTGAAAATGGGCTAAAAGAAACAAATTTTCGCGTAGCAAAGCATAAAATGCTGAAAACGGGCGGAGAGGAAAGAAGTTTTCGTGGAGCGAGTCTAAATCGCTGAAAACGGGCCGAAAAAGAAACAAATTTTCGTGTTCTGAAGCCCAAGTGGCTGAAAATGGGCCAAAAAGAAACAAAAGGTTTGTGTCCTGAAGCCTAAATTGCTGACAACGGGCGAAAAAGGAACGACATTTTCACGTAGCGAAGCCTAAGTGTCTGAAAACAGGCGGAAAAGAAACAAAAAGTTTCATGAGCCGAAGCCTAAACTGCCGAAAACAGGCGGAAAAGAAACGAAGTTTCACGTACTAAAGCCTGAACTGATGAAAACGAGCAAAAGTCTCCTCCACGGGGACTCGAAAAGCCAAACTGGGGGAAGGGGGGAATATCCCGGAGGTGGATGCCAGCGGAGATGCTCGGAGGGATGTTAAATCTTGCGCCTCGGGCTTTCAGCTGATTTCTGAACGACGAGAAGCTAAACCGAAGCCCAACGTGGGGCACAGGTTGAGTTGAAGCGCTCAGATCTTCTCCCGAAGCGCCTCCCGCTTTTATGCTGCCACAAAACCATCTCATTTTCCCCGTTTCTCTCTTTCCCCGACAGCCCCGACTCTCGTTTCGCGGGACGCCTGGATTATTCTTGCTTTTTACCGAAGTTTTTAGCGACGGCACCGTCGTGAAACGCTAACGAGCGGCAGCCTGGCGAGCCGCCGCCACCCCCCCCTCTCCTCGGCCGAACCGCAGCGCTGAGGGGGTACGTCTCGACACGCAGCGCTGAGCCGGGAGGCCAAACGCTTTCGGTGAAAGCCTTAAATCACCGGGGATGCGCCCGCGGGGCTGGGAAGAGGCACCCGCGGCAGCTCGGCTGACGGGGAAGGGAGGGGGGGGGACGCACCGTGCGGGTGAACGCCGGTGAAAACGGGCGTAAATAAGTTATCGAGGGGGTTAGTTTGGGTTTTGCTCCCTTTCCAACCCGTTTTCCACCCGTGATGCGTCACCACTGCAGGGAATCGGGTGCGCTGGGAACGCTCCCGTCTTTTGAGCAGGTTCACTTGGTCGTCGGCACCGGAAAATGCCGGGGAAAAGGGATTTTAAGGATTTCTCTGATCCGAAAAACCCCTATTCCCTGTGCTTTCGGGGCCCGCCGACCCTTTCCCCGGCTGCGCTGGCAGCAAATATCCTTTTTCGAGGTTTGGTGGGTTTTTTTTTTAATTCCCGAGCACAAAGGGGAAGGGCGCTACCCGCAGCCCTGAACTTTGCCGGCGTTCACCCGGCCCCGGGAGCTGGCTTCGGCGCTGGCAGGCAGCCTTTGCCCCAGCCCAGCGGGGCGCTGGGTTTTCGGCCGGAGCCCAGACTGGGGAAGAGGAGGGTGGGGGAGAAATTGGGCTGAGGGAGAGCGATTTCTGTTCGGTGCCGGTGGAAGATGTCGAACCGAAGCCACCGCGCCGGGCGGGAGGGGGACACTGTCCTTCTTGCTCTCCGCTTGTCCCCGTCGGCATCATCCCACGTCCTAACCTGAAAACATTAAACATTTCCGAGTGATGAGAGGCTTTTTTTTTTTTCCCCCCTACAAATCTGCTTTATTTTTAATGATTTCGGTGGTTTTTTTGTGGCTAACCCACGACTGTCTGTGGTTCCCCAGCGCGGTGCAAGGGGAGCTGAGCAGGGTGGCTTGCGGCCACGCATCCGGCAGGTGTTTTTTGGCGAGCACCGGCGCTCCTCCGAATCCAGGTCTCCGTGAAGAAGCGCTTCCCTCAGGCCCCCTCTCTCCGCGTGCGGCAGCGGCTCCGCCGTCACCTTCTTCCCCCCACCCCCGATGGTTTCGCGGCGCCTGTATTTCACGCGAGCGGTGCAGCCGCCGCCTCTGCAGGCTGTCATTACGCCACCCGCTTTAATCCGCCCGGGATTAACGAAGCTGAATTCTGCATCGTCAGGATTTTACCCTGGCCGGAGCCGCCGGGAACGGGATTACCGGCGACCGCGTTCCTCCCGTGGCCGCGTTCCTGATGCTGACGGCATCGCCGGCATCTCGTCCGTGCTTCGTTTTGAGCTGTTTGGGTGATCTGCCGCCGCTCCATCTCCTCTCCCCCCAGGCCGCTGTCAACCGAACACGACCTCGGGAGCATCTCCCGCTGTTGCGTCTCTGGCTGTAGCGGCGCGTACGTGGGTCTCTGTTCGCAGGCGGGGAGATGTAACGGTGTTTCTCAGCACCGAGAAGAGGCAATTGGGGTGCGGGGGAAGGAAGAAAGCGAGCAGCGTAGACGGGATGAGACCGCAGATGCGGTTTCGGCAGCGGTTTCTAACGATAACGATGGTGCAGCGGGAGGTTGAAGGTGACCGTGGGACTTCCATCCCTCTGTGTGTATCATTGTTGTTATAGTTTTAAGGACAAACGTAAGGGGCAGCGGTCAGGTGTGGTTCAGGGGAGGGGCGGGACGACCCAGCAGCCCTCCGCGGTCTCGGTGGGACTGTGCCGCCTCGAAACCCCAGCGCTTGAGATCCCGAAGAGCCAACGCCCGCCGACTGACGCGGCGTTTTAACACCGCCGGGCGCGTGGCTCCTGCTGTAATTGAAACGCCAGCCCTCGGGGAGGTCGTCCGGCTCAATTCATCCGGCGTCAGCCGCCATCTGGTTTTCGCTGGCTCTTTGGCACCAACCGGGGCGGGTTTCGGATGGGGAAAGCGCCCGACGTGGTTGCTGGGGCTGTAAAACACAGTGGGAACGGCTGTTTCCCAGCACCCGGCCGGGCTTCGCCTTGTTTGTCGGTGGCAGCTGACTGAAAACCACAACCGGGGAATCACTTGTGACGTCTTGCCGGGACGGTTCAGGGGTTGATTTGAGGGCTCGGCCGTGGTGGTTTCAGCGGTGGTTTTACCGTCGGCTCTCGCTTTCCAGGTGCGGCTGTACCGAGAGGTGTGTTACAAAGAGCGTAAAACGGGCTGGAAGCTGCTACGGGTGGTTGCTTTAGCGGCGGCGGGGCTCAGCGCGCCGGACAAACCCGTCTCTAAATCACTTATAAACTGTTTTGTATTTGCAGTCGACGGCAGATCGGATACGGTTTTATAGAAACACAGAGCGATGGGATTTTTTTTCCCGGAAAATTAGTGATAAAAGGCTAAAACTCCAGACCTTTCCACTGGCTGATTTTACAAAGTAATGCTCGGGTGGCTTGAAACCTGTTTCATCCCTTTTTCTGTCCCTCCGAGGCGTCTCCCGAGCTTGTACGTAACGTATTATCGCGTAAAATGCCCATTTTTGCCTTATTCCTCCCCACAGCCGAAAAAAATCACGCCTAGAACCGAACGCGTAAACTGTCAGAGTTGAACGAATGTGACTAAAACAGGGGGAAAAAAAACCCAACTTCCTTCCCCCTCCTGCCTTAATCTCTATTATTTTTTATTTTAGCTTGTTGTTGGGTGGGGCTGGATCATGCATGGCCAAGAGGAGAGGAAACTGAAATGAAAAAAATCTCCTCTTCTGGGCTAGAAAAGCCGCTTTCCAACGCTGTGCTCTCCCAACCTTTAGCTCCGGACCCCGACTCCCCCATAAAAATGCAAATCCTCTTGGATTTCCAGCTCTGTTCCTGATTTTTCTCCCACTCGAAACAAATCCTGAGGAGAGGCCCCGAGTGCCTGGATTTAATTACCTGAGTTGTTTTGTTATCAATAACGCAGCCAACGAACTTCAGATAGAGAAACGGAGAGCGTCTGGAATTAATTTCCTGGGACGTGTTGACGTTGAGGATCTCCGTCCTACATGTTATAACTTGCTTTTAAGCATTTTTCCTTTTTTCTTTTTTTTTTTTTTTCCTTTTTAAATTTTGCAGATTACTTTTAAAGCCCGCGTTGCTGAAGTCTAGGAAGACAACCACCTCTTGAGTTGGCTGGAGTTGGCGTGGAAGCGCTTTGCTCCTCGGCACGATGTCCACCAAGGTGCCGATCTACCTGAAGAGGGGCAGCCGGAAGGGGAAGAAGGAGAAGCTCCGCGACATCCTCTCCTCCGACATGATCAGCCCGCCCTTGGGGGACTTCAGGCACACGATTCACATCGGCAGCGGCGGGGAGAGCGACATGTTTGGGGACATCTCCTTCCTTCAGGGCAAGTTCCATCTCCTCCCCAGGACCGAAGGCAGCCTCGACTCCGACAAGGACAGCCCCGACGCGGCGCCGTTCGAGTTCTCCAGGACGGCCACCATCTCCGGACGCGAGCAGGCGTCCTCGGAGACTTCATCTCCGCTCCTCAAAAACGCCATCTCCTTGCCCGTCATCGGGGGGCCGCAGGCGTTGATGCTGCCCTCGGCGCAAGCCCCCCCGAAACCGCCGCGGTTGCACCTCGATGACAAAGCCCCGCCGGTGCGAGGCTGGGAAGGTGGGGAGGAGGACGGCGAGGGCAGGAGCGCCGCCCCGCTGCCGCATCCCTGCGCCTCGCGTTTCGCTGCCCCGACGAACGGCTTCACCGAGGAGAAGGGCAACGCCGAGCCGCCCTTCCTCTCCCACGCCGGCTCCCTCCTCTCCCTCCACGTGGATTTGGGGCCGTCCATTTTGGAGGACGTCCTGCAAGTGATGGAGAAACATCAAGCAGAGAGAGTGGGTGGATCTATACAGGATTCGGGCAGGCAGGAAATCTTGACGTGAAGACGGCTCAAGGTAAAGACGTTGAGAAATGGATTATTATTATTATTTTTTGGGTGGTTTTGTGGTTTGTGTTGGTTTTTTTTTTGATTTTTCCCAAGTGGCTCTTAAATTACAGCTGGTTTTTTTTTTAATTTTTCCCAAGTGGCTCTTAAATTACAGCTCAAACTCGCAAGTTTGACCCCACGCACCTTCCTTAACCGGCGCGCTGACAGCGATGTGTTGTTTCCTCTCGCAGAGCCCGTCGTGCAAACGGGATGTGAGCGCTCATCCTCCGCGCCGCTCCCCGCAGACCTCCGGCTATTCCCTCAGCGTGGGGAGGAAAAAACCAAAAACCACCCACCCTACGAAGCCAAGACGAAACACGCAGCGCTCGCTGCCGGATTATATCGCCGCTTGCCCGTATCAACTTTGCCTTTAGCGATGGATCGAACCGTAGGACCGCGCCGACCGGTAGAAAATAAGACGTGGCGCTGTTATCGATGTTTGTTGTACTGGACGGGGTGAAACAGCGACGGTTGAATTCCCGAATGTCTCGGTCGGGAGGAGTTTTGGGGTTTCGGGGGGTTTTTTTTGCTCGAAGAGGGGCTGCGGTTTGCACTCAGTCGAGGTGAAGGTGTGACGTTCGCTGTTTGCCAACCACCCGAATCATCAAGGTGATGTCAAATGTCAGCCTGGGACTTGACTTAATTTTTTAAAGATCCCACAAACGGGTAAATCTAGTGGTTACGTGGCAAAAGGCTCCATCGGGCTTTAATGTTGCGTCGTCTCTAAGGAGAAGCTAAAAGCTCTCTGCGGAGACGCTAAAAAAACCCTCTCGGGCTGTATTTTGGCAACTAAATCCGTGGCTGGAGCTTGGGGTTGGAATTTAAAGTCGTAAATAAGATGCAAACAACAACAGAAAAAAACCCGTTAAGTGAAGGGTGAGTGACCACCGGGCCAGATTCCTGCGCGATGGGGTGAAATTCATTCTCCTGAAAGACGCCGTCTTCCATCAATCGCTGATTGTTTGGATGGACGGAGGAACGAGGGGGTGAAACGCTTCGGCACGCAGAAAGGAATGCGAATCCCTTCTGCTTTTTAAAAAATAATAATAAAATAAAAAAAAAAAATCACTGGAAATGCCAATTCTGCTGACGTCGGGGTGAAAGACCTTAACGCTCGGCCGCCAGGGCTTTCATTCTCTTTCCCGATCTCTGAATCGAGGACAAGAGAAGCCTGTTGGATGCAGTAACGGTGTAAAAGCAAGCGGGACCTCGTTTCCTAGATGCCGTCGTTAATTAACTCCATCATTTTTAACCGTTTCTGGTAGTTTTAGCCCAGAATGAGGCTGGGAGTTCCCCCTAATAAGGAATGAAGGCACCTCTTGAAGAGCACGCTGACTTTTTGCTGGCTTGCCGGAGCCTGACCGTGTATTTCTTTACATCGTCAATTGCCGTTTCGTGCAGGTATCGTTAAATAACGAGTCATTAGATTAACGAGGTCGTAGCTCGTCACCACACAATCGTGTCCCGGCTCTTGCTTACTCCTGCCCATCCGCGTCCGGCGGCGCGCTCCCACTGTAAGACCAAAACACTCCGTTTTGGTGGAAACACCACAGATTTGGGGTTAAACCAATTTTTCAAGCCTTCAGTCTGCGAAATAATTAAGAAAATGAGGCTAACTGAGCTCGATCCAGGCAGCCGCTGGGTTTCATTTCGATTCGATTTTATGCTGTTACGGTTCAATCCTTACCTGGTCTAAACTGACGGACGGCGCTTCCTCCGAAAAACACCCATCCACGTGGCGACGACTTATTTTTATTGATTTTAGGATTTTCCTTACCGGAAATAATTCCAGTGAGGGGATGGGGGGGCATTTTAGAGCGTCGTTTGTAATTAATTTACCCCGGTGATGGCCTATTTCGATGGGAGATGTGGCTCAGAGCATGGGCCCGGCTAACACGCCGCAGCTGCTGTTTGGTCAAACAATTGGAAGGAAAAAAAGCCGGGAATGGATCGTTTTGGGTGGTTTTCAGAGCACTTTGCTTGTTTTTTATGTGGCCCAACATCCTCGTGCGGGGTGGGGTGGGTTGCGTCAATGCGGCGGTGCTTGTTTTCATGGATTTCACCGCAATTAGTGAATTAAATTGAGCCGGGGATGAAGATGTTTGAGTTTGCCCCCCACCTCTGCCTAATTATCAGCAGCAATTACAAAACCTCACTGAGAATCACCACCGGATCTGGGCAAGGCCGGGCGGCAGCTTCCCCTCGTTTCGAAATAACGCCACGGAGGTAACGGCCAAAATCCCCTTTTCTCCCCATTTTTGCTCCTTCCACTTGTTCCAAGCCAGGGGGACGGGGTTGGGGGGCGTTAACGGCTTTAACTTGGCACCTCGCTCGCTCTTGACGGCTCCCACCTGCGTCCAAGCGGATCCGTCGCTCCCCTGCTCATCCCGCCCTGCTCCGGCGCTGGAATCGCGGCGCCTTCCCGAGCCGACAGCTCAACTCCGGTAGCTGGAAGAGAAACGGGAGCTGGTATTACGAGGGGCTAAACGGAAAGGATGCTTTAATTTGCTGGATTTTGGTGGTTTTCTACTGCGAAAAGGTGATGCTCCTTGTCTGCAACACACCTCCTCCCTCCCCTCTGCCCGCCACTGCCCTCTCTTACCCACCTCTCAGACTATATTTGATATAAAACCCCTGAAATTATCCCAATCCTCCCCCCCCCCCCCCCCCCCCCCCGCCATATTCTCGGCTTTGCCGACTTCCACCGCCGACTCTTCCTCTCCTTTCAGGTACGTGCCGCAATTAATTTTTAGCTATTAGCAATAAAATCGTTTGGGATTCCCCCCCGCCCCGGGGTTTCTGCACAGGATGGGGGCTTCCTTCATCCCCTCCCTCCGTTCCTTCCTTAGTTAATCACTCCTCAAATTGCCGATTTATGCAAAAAGCTGTTGCTAAACCCTGGGGTTTTTTTTATACCCCGTTCTAAGAAGTGTGAATCACTCGGACAGGAAGGCTGTTCCCTGCTGTGACTCAGCCAGCATGTGCCGAACAACCTCTTTCCCCCTCGCTTTTTCGGGGAGGTTTG